ACAAGACACGGACGGCCTGTCGGCCGCGAACACGGGCGAGCGCGGAGGTAGACGAGTAGGAGGCCGCTGGACTCGGCCAGTTTCTGCGCTACTGCGGTTTGGCTGTGACTACCTCTGCACCTGCCTTGGAATACCTGGAGCCCAATTTTCGCTTGTTGTGTTAAAACCATCTTTGAAACATGGTTCTAATATAATAACAATTATTTATCGTTAACTCTGTTGTATAGAATAGTTTCGGATTGTTTTAATAAATATAATAACAATAATAATAATGCAAGTAAACACAATTAAAAGTCATTAACAGCTTACTCAAAATAAAGAAACATTTTCTATGAGAACATAAATGGTATTAGAGCTCTTAAAAATGACTGCCCTAACAGACTTGGTTATTCGTGGGTCACCTTTATCTTTCTACACTGGTTTCATCTTCGACGATGTTGCACTGGTGTAACACGAGTCTTTTGTTAGCTATGCTTCATAAATTTTATTAGCACATAAAATGAATCAAATGTCTTGAAAATTCGCATTTTGTTAGGAAAGTAACTGTTCCTAATACATCATTTTCCTAGACTAGAACGATTCATGAGAATGAATACGAGAAAAAAATGAAAAAGTGGAATACCCAAAATAAATTGCACATAGTACATGTAATTCATTCCATACAGCGTAGCGTATTACCAACCGCAAACTTTACTCCAAACACAAATCTATTCACTGGAAATAACTCCATTTACAACAGCTCCTCCATTACACGGAAAGCGAAATGTTCCAATCTTTCGCCTGATAAAAATATCAAGCTTTAATCGGCCGCGAAGAGGCAAAAAATCCTGTTTCGAATGAAACCACCATTGAACCGTCCGCACGACAGCTTTCCGGGCCGCCCCGCACCCGCCCCCGCCTGCCCGCCGCTATTTTCATAACGAAGGTCGTTGGGAGCGGCGGGCGCGCGCAAATCAGGTCGGGGCGAGCGCGCGCTGTTAGCCGCGTCCGGGCGATTGCGTCGGGTCGCGTCGCCCCCTGCGGCGCTGTAATTCGCTGATCTGCGCCGATCCCTTTCCATTCTTTGTTGTCAAATTATGTCGACTGCTCTCCCTCCTCCGTTCTGCACCGCCCGCCTGTCATGCCGAAGAAAAGAAAAGGAAATTTCTAGAACTGAGTCCCAAATTTCAGATATTTGAAATGTGTCATCTCTGCCCTCAGTTTCAATGGAATAAAATAATGTTCGGGGTATTAGACAATGTGTACTATATTTCATGATACCAACTAGAAAAAAAACCCTACTAAAACTACTAGCCACTAAAAAGTGCATTTACGGGAAAAATATTCTAGATATTACTTTTGTTAATCTAAGCAGAGAGATCTGCATTTCTTTTGTACTATTGTTAATGACTTCATCAATAAGAATTTGAAAGAACGAAATAATTATTTTTATTGAAATTTCATTTCCAATTAGATTAAATATAAATCCGAATTTACTTTTCTTCCACTTGTATAAAATACTTCATATGTATCTTCCATTTTATTTAGACGCTCGTTGAGTAACGGATAACATTTAAAATTTCGTCAAAAGTAAAGAGCAATTTACAAAAGAGAAAGTATAGGAATATTTTATGAGTAGTATGAAAATGTTAACAACAAAAAAACTGACAAAGTTGGCTACTTCCAAAAACTAATCATTTGCTGTAAAATATCGACAATATTGGAAATTATATACAAAGACGAAAGATGAAAGTGTAGAAAATTCCACAATACGCATGTGAATGGAGTAGATGACGGACAAAACAGAGAAGTAAAGATGAAAAAAGTTAAAGATGTAATTAATAAAAATATACCAATAACTGAACGAGAAGGAGGAAATAAAATAGAGAAATAGGAATAGAAAATAAAAATGGAAGAAGGGAATACAACAATGAGGGAAATCAAATAAAGGAGAATAAAAAGAGAAAAAAAATATTGAAGGGAAGATAAAAAGGAAAGAACAGGGTAAATTACACAAATTGTCACGGAAAGCGATGAAAGAGTAAGAGAGACAATTGCTTACCCTGAAAGGTATCATGGAAGAGGAACATCGACATGAGGCAAGGGGTCCGCGCAGGGGGTCGAAGGCGGGTCCTTCCGAAGACGATCCGCCTTCCGCGGAAGGAGTTGCGGTTCGAAATAACGCTCTATGCTCATGAACAAATAATTGATGAGCCCACTTTCCTTTGAGAAAGAGCGAGGCAAAAAGCCTTCGGGCAGCGCCGTAAATCTAAAATCCCCGTTTTTTTATTTCTTCTTACTGCGGCAGTATCAGGAACGCCGCAGGCCACGGGGGCGTGGCGACGGCGGCGAGAGCGCGCGAAAGAGACCGAAAGAGAAACGAGCGAAACGGCGGACGGAGAAGCGAGAAGAAAAAGGACG